GACAGATGTTCAAGGTTTATTTCCTTTTAAATTTTATGTAATTTTTTCCAAGCTTTTATTATGTTTACAAGTAGATACTATGTTCATTGTGAGGAGTTGGTACATGTAAAGTGTTTAATAATAGTCTCTTGTGCTCATGAAAAAGTTTCTAGGAGGAACATAGACCTGCTTAAGGCCCAACAGAACCACCAGGAAGACAACCCAAACCAGCTCCAAGAAACAAGAGCCCAAACTATATAGCTTCATCTGCCTTGGCCCCAGTGAGCTCAGAGCCCAAAGCCCTAATAACTGCTGCCAACTGAGTGTGTGCCATGTATCACCCATCAAAAATAACGTCCCCACCCGTCACTCACTTCCCCGGCGCTCGTACAATCTGGAGGCTAGGACAACCCAAGGACTGGCTAAGCTCTGGCAACACGGAGAGCAACGTCAGCTCTCCTGGTTTCCCTGGAAAACGAGAGGAGTTAAGATGGTCTGCTCCCAGAGGCCAAGGCGACGTCCCAGGCCCCTATGTTCACCATTCCCCCTCTCAGACTTCAGGCCCCTTTGTGCGCCTTCTTTGCAGCTGCCCATACCTGTCACCGGCAGACCCTGCGGCTTGTTCAGCGTCACCAGAGGTCCTGAAACAGTATTGCATGGACATCAGTGAAACCGCTGGCAAACCTGTATGCAGACTTCGAAGTCGATCTTCTTGTTCCTCCTTCTATGTGACCCACGATGACTCTCAGACACGAGAGGACCCTAGTTCACATAGGCCAAGTTCACTGCCACCTCTGGGCCTTTGTATTTGCTCTTTCCTCCGTCCCAGTCACAAGCCTGGCTCCTGCATATAATCCTGGCTTCAGTATAACGGCTGCCCTCTTGTAGTCCTTGCCACCCTAACAGCCTGTCCGAGCCTAATCATAACGCGACTGCTACTAATTTATTTTCTAATTAATTAGAACATTAATCTCCCTAAATGTAGGCTCCCTGAGGACAGGAACTCTTATCTGTCCCAGCACTGTGCAGCCCACCTGGAAAATGAACGAAGTACACCCGTACTCAACAAATAGTGCAGAAAAATGACCACTAAATGATACTGAGCTCAAAGCTCGTTTTCCCGCGGCCACACGGCGGGCGGGGAAAGAGCTTCTCCGCGCCCGGCAGTCAGGAAGCGGCGCGGGACCGCAGCGCCGAGTCCATGCCGAGCGCTGCAGCGCGGCCCAGGCTGAGGCCGGGGCCGGGGCCGGGGCCGGGACCCTCACCTCTGCGCTCCACCACGGCTGCGCGCAGCTCGAGCAACAGCGCCTCGCGGCCGCCTCCGCACCACAGCTGGGGCCTGGAAACGAGGGACGAGCGTGAGGGAAGCCTCGCGGCCCGCCTCTCCCGCCCCGAGGGAGGGCCGGGGCCACACAGCCCGGTCGGGGCTCGAACCAGACTGACACCCCCCGCCCGGCTTCCTCCTACGCAAACGTAGGACGCGCAATCACCCGGCCGCGGTGCACAGGCCAGCGCCCAAGGGCCGCATGCGGGCTCCCAGCGCCAGCCGCCAGCCACTTGCGCCACGGTAGCACGCCGCTAGCACGCCCATCTCCACGGAGGCAGCTTGCGCGTGCGCGTCCAGGCCGCGGCCCCGGCTCGCTTGCCGCACGCTGGTTGGTCAGACTGATTGTCAATCGGGCTGCGGAGCAGGTGGGCTCTGAGCCACGCGGAGGTGGGACTTCGCTGCGGTGCAGCGGTTAAGGCACTAGACCGCGCCTAAGCTCTGTGGAAGGTGCAGCAAAGGGAGCCTTTGAATCATTTTCTCGGGGCAGATGACTTGTCTTAGGACCAAACCAGGAAAAAGCCAGGTCGAGACTTTTAGATTACCATTCCAGTTCCTAGGAGCCGTCTGATTTAAAGCCATCAATATGCACAATCTTGGAAGGCAAATTGGGAAGAAGAAAAACTTACTGTATGATTTTGTCGAGTAAACCTCATTTCAGAAAACACAGCCTGGGCCTCGTGGTGGCTCAGCCTGTGATCCCACCACTGGGAAGGCTGAAGCAGGAGGACTGGAAGCATTCTAAGACATGGCTCAAAAAAAAAAAAAAGGCAAAAATCTGGTGCATAATCACCAAAGAGAAAAATGCCAGAGGCAGAAAGAGGTTCACGTTGCTTTCAAAAGAAAACTATCAAAACTAGGGACATAAATTTTCCTGTGGTGAAATCTGTAAGGGAACATTAATGCATCTTTATTTTGGGTGTGGTACTGGGGATTGAACGCAGCCCCTTTGCGTTGAGCTTCATTGCAGCACCTTTTTATTTATTTATTTTGAGAAAAGGCTTTTATTAAATTGCTCATGTGGGACTTGAACTTTCCACCCTCCTGCCTCAGCTTACCAGAGTGGTGGGATTACAGGATGTGCCACCTAACCTGGCATGGGCACATCACTTATTGATTATTTGTTGAATTTTGACTCCGTGCCAGGCCCTGGGATCTGATCCACAAGGCTCAGGTCCCACCTGTGAGGTATTCTTAGAGTTGACAACTAGAGTAGCCTGTCACAACCCATCAGGTGAAAAGTTACAAAAGACCAAAGTTGAGGTGGGGGGATGGGGGAGAAGGTTCCTGAGGGGCATGTGTGTATTGGCCTGTGGTAAAGAGCCAAAAGAAGGGGACGGGGAGATGGCTCAGTAGAATAAGTGCTTCCCTGGCAAGCACAAGGCCCTGAGTTCAATCCCTGATTCCAAAAAATAAAAAATAAAAAAGCCTAAAGAACCTTACCCAGAAGTCACAGAAGAGCAGCAGAGACACAGACTCAAGCAGGGATCCAAAATGGGTAAGTTTTGTTGTATGCAAATTATATAACGACAATGATTTTTTTTTTCTTTTTCAGTGCTGAGGGTGGCACCCAGGACCACGTGTATGCTAGGAAAACATTCTGCCTCCAAGCCACAACCCTAACCCAACAATAAGCAATTTTTTTTTTTTTTTTTTTTTTTTTTTGTATTTT